AGCCGGGGCTGGGAGCTGGGGGGGTGAAGGTGGGGATGGTGAGCGGGGCAGGCTGCGAGGTGGTGGTGACGAGCGTGGTGGGGACAACGAAGGTGCGGGAGATGATGAGGGTGGTGGGGATGAAGGTGGTGGAGATGATGAGGGTGGTGGGGACGAAGAAGGTGCTGGAGATGGTGAGGGTGGTGGGGATGATGAAGGCAGCAGGGACGATAAGTGGTGGGGGCGAATGAGCGTGGTGGGGATGAAGAAGGTGGGGACAATGAAGGTGGTGGAGATGGTGAGGGTGGTGGGGATGAAGAAGGTGGTGGAGATGATGAGCATGGTGGGGATAACGAAGGTGCTGGGGACGAAGAAGGTGGTGGAGATGGTGAGGGTGGTGGAGATGACGAGCGTGGTGGGGACAATGAAGGTGGTGGAGCTGATGAGGGTGGTGGGGATGATGAAGGCAGCAGGGACGATAAGTGGTGGGGGCGGATGAGCGTGGTGGGGATGAGGAAGGTGGTGGGGTCAATGAGCGCGGTGGAGCTGGATGAGTGTGGTGGGGACAATGAAGGTGCTGGAGATGATGAGCGTGGTGGGGATGATGAAGGTGGTGGAAACCATGAGCATGGTGGGGTCAATGGTGGTGGAGATGATGGAGGTGGTGGAGATGATGAAGGCAGCAGGGATGATGAGTGTGGTGGGGAGGGAGGAGCATGGCGGGGATGAAGAAGGTGGTGGGGACAATGAGCACGGTGGAGATGGATGAGTGTGGTGGGGACAATGAAGGTGCTGGAGATGATGAGCGTGGTGGCAACGATGAAGGCAGTGGGGAGGGATGAGGGTGGTGGGGACCGATGAGTGTGGTAGGGATGATGAGCACAATGGAGCTGGATGAGCGTGGTGGGGACAATGAGGGTGGTGATGATGAGTGTGGTGGGGATGATGAGCATGGTGGGGATGATGAGTGTGGTGGGGATGATGAAGGCAGTGGGGACAGATTGGCATGGTGGGGATGGATGAGCATGGTAGGGATGAAGAAAGCGGTGGTGACGAGTACGGTGGGGACAGATGAGCGTGGTGGGAACGAGCACGGTGGGGACAACAAGCACGGCACACAAGATGCTGGGCGCACGCCCCACCACCCCCTAAGGGCAGACAGGGCCCCCCCGAAGGCTCCCGGGCCCCCCGCCAGCCCCGGGGGGCCGCGGTGCCCTCACCTGGTGTGCTGCTGGAGGTGGGACAGCTGGCGGAAGGACTTCTCGCAGTAGGAGCAGTGGTAGGGTTTGACGCCCAGGTGGATGCGCAGGTGCTGGGCCAGGTAGGAGGCGTTGGCGAAGGATTTGGAGCAATGGGGGCACTTGTGGGGCTTGGCCTCTGTGTGCGACTTGGAGTGGATCTGCATCTCCGACTTGGTGAAGAACGTCAAGGGGCAGACCTTACACCTGGAGGGGCACGGAGAACCCCGCAGGGACCGGGCTGGGGTGGAGGGGGGCACCCCGCCATCACCCCGATCCCCCCGAGGCGCGCGGGTGGCTGCCTACCTGTACGTCTTCCCCTCTTTGGCCGTCTCCCCCGAAGCCAGGATGGGATAGGGCACCACCAGGACCGGCGGTCCCGAGGGATTTTCCGCCTTGATTTTCTTACGGCCTCGTTCCGCTTTGGGTGCCCCCAGCAAGCCGTGGCCCTGGATTGTCTTTATGGAGTCGAGGAGGGGGGGGCTGGTGATTCCTGAGATTAGGGTGGGCGAGGAGGCGATGAGGCGGCTCTGGCTGGTGGAGGTGGGAGTCGATGGGGTGGTGGTCCCCGTCCCCGTGCTGGATTCGGAGGTGCTGACCGCCGGCGCGCGGGAAGCCAGCCCCAACCCTGGCGGGCAAAGAGAGGGGAGGGGGGCG